CACTGTCGTCATTGACACGCGATCTGCCGCCGAAAAGCAGCAGGCCGACGAGGAAGGCTACGAGACGCCCAACGTCATTTACATGCCGCCCCTCCATACCCTTTCCATCGACTCCATCCGCGCCAAGACGATTGTTCCGGTGCCTGAGGCGCACTGGCTTGCCCTCACGATGCGCCATCTCGATTGCTTCCACCAGCATCCCGACCCCGGCTCGGCCATCCGCGCGCACTGCTTTTCCAACTTGTACGAGCTCGTGCAAACCCTGTCCGACGACAACATGACCCTGGTGGCGACCGAGGTCTTTGACGTTGTGAACGATGCAGTGCACCGCATGACGTTTATCGAAACGCTCGGCGCTGTCGGCACGCCTCGCGCCCAGCTCTTGCTGCTGCAAAAGGTGCTGCTCGCTGACGATGCCGACATTGAAGAGGTGCACAAGACCATCATGACGCTGCACGACGTCAAGCGGCCGACGGATGAAACCATCCGTGTGCTCGAGGCCATGTGTTTCCATGCCGGCACGGAGGCGTTTGCCTTTGACCTCAACTACTATTCGACCACGCGCAAGATGGCCCTGCTGGCCCTCGGCTCTGTCATCAAAAACGTGCATGCCTACAACCCCCAGCACGCCGAAGAGCTGCTCGCGCTTCTCCACGACGAGCTTGACACGCACGAGGGAGAAATGGCACGGCGCGGCGTCGGCACGCACGACGACGACGGCGCCATCTCGATGCAGACGCAGCACAAGAGCACTGTTGTGAACGCCCTCGGCAACGCTGGCCACAGCTTCTCTGCAGACACGCTTGTCGCTTACGCCACGTCCGAGGACGAAGCAGAGCACGTTCGCTCGGCTGCCCTGCAGTCGCTGCGTCACTTGCAGAGCCCGGAGATTGACGCAGTGCTGCTGCACGCCCTCAACGACTCTGGCACTGTCGTGCGATCTGCTGCTCATCACGCCTTCACCAGCATGCGCCGCTCGGTCACGCTTCCTGCAGAGACTGCGTCCGGCGAGGCCGTGCACACTGGCCCGCACCGCGAGCGTCGCCTGTCCCTCAAGCAGATTCTCGACTGGAGCTGGCGGTTTGAGCTGCGCGCTCCCGGCTTCCTCTACAAGATTGGCTTCGGCTCGGACAAGATGGGCGCGTTCGTCAAGGCCGAGTCGCGCAACAACATTCTCATCCACTTGAGCATCCTCAAGAGTTACCTGAGCTTTGACGTGTACAACGAGGGCGCTGCGTATGTGGCGGCCTTTGGCAAGACCATCTACATTTTCCGCCTGCTTCTCGCATACATTGCGTGGTGGGGCTACGACTTTGAGATGATTCGCAAGTTTGGCCTCGAGGACATTTTCAACATCAAGGCCCTCTTTGACAAGATTGTCAACTGGGTCAAGGACAAGATTGAGATGGTCAAGAATTTTGTGAGTACGGCGATCGACCGCTTCAAGTCCATTGCCCAGTCGGTGGTCAACGCCGTCATCAACATTCCCAACGCCTTCATGAGCATGTTTGAAAAGATTGGCGCCATGCTCACAGGCCAGACCGCGGAAGTGAGCAAGACCACCAATGCCACTCGGAAGGACGAGGCCTACCTCATTCAAATCATGATCGACTTGACGTTCGAGTTTGTGTCGGATGTGATTGGCATGAATCTGACGTTTGTCATCCAATCGGTCAAGACTGACTTGAAGCTGCTGGGTGTCGACTCCAACCGCGGTGTTGTCATGATTATCGACGCCGTCCGACTCTTCTTTGAGTGCCCGATCGGCGCCATTATCGGTGTCATTCAGGGCGCGAACGACATTCGTCTTGCGCTGTTCTCGACCAACACGACTGCAGGCTGGGGTCTCGTGCCGGTTGCGGCCAAAATCATTGACGAGACGGGCATTTTATCGGGCAGTATACCGCCCTGGCTGACAACCATACCCGACCAGGCCTACGTCTTGCTCGACGAAGTGACCAACTACATTGAGGTGTGCGTCAACATGATTCTCAATCCCCTCACCATTGCCACGTCGCCCTACACGTGCTTCTTTAAAGACTCGGCCAACGAGATTGTCGCCATCATGAACAAGATTGAGTACAACAAGCAGTGGCTTCTCAACATTACGGCCTACTACATGCAAGTCTACGAGAATGTGACCAACACCTTCCGCACCATCAAGTCGTACATTCTCAAGGTCAAGTCGATTATCGAGGGTTTCTTCGGGCCCAAGTTTTCCAAGGCCTTCCCGTTCGACCCGTGGCAAGACACAGACGCTCCGTCCTGCGCAGACGGTATCTTCACCGAGGACAAAAACCTCAACGGAACGACCACCAAGCCCGCTGGAAGCTCTCCGCCAGACAACGACCCGAACGTGGGCGGAGGCTACGCCACCGAAGGCAAGAACACGTACACGGATGCCGAGGATCCCGGCATTGACATTGCGCTCGCGGGCGTCATTGACATTGTTGCTCCCTGGCAAGGCACGGTGAAGGCCACCGGCTTCAACTGGATTGTCATTGCTGCGGACAGCTCGCTCAACCAGTACGACATTAAGGTGCAGCACTTTTCTCCCAAGAGCGGCCTCAAGTCGACCTACGTCAAGTCTGGCGACATTATCGGCAAGTCTTCTGGCAAGTCTTGCGCAAACAACCACGTCGATCCTGTGGTGCGTGTTTCCATGAAGCGCAAGGTGCCCTCCCCCTTGGCTCCGACCTTTGTCGATCCCACCAAGTACCTCAAGCGCCGCATCGATATCGGTCTCATGATGAAGGAAACGCTCAACCAGTTCCTCTATGTGCAGCTCACCAAGACCATGGTCGACCTGTACATTCTTCCCACCAAGGGCTCGTTCAGCAAGAAGAACACGACCACGACGGGCGGCGGCACCACCACCAAACGTCGCAGCGCCTTCACCATCCGCACCGATCCTGGCGCCGACGACATCGCTCCCTACGGCAGCGGGATTGCTCGTCGCGGTGACAACACTTGCGCCGACTTCCAGGGCACATCGGACGTCTGCCTCAAGTTTGAAAAGAAAAACATTGTGACGTACTCTATTCCGCTCTACGCCTATGCGTTCAATCAGGTGTTTGGTCCTGTGACTGTGATTGCCGAGTTTGGCGCCTTCCTGGAGCTGGGCATTGACGTTTGGATACAGCTGTGTCTCATGAACAAGACGTGTCACGCCATTCTCACGCCCCACGCCGGTGTCGCCATCAAGGCCAAGGTCGTCTTGGACATTGGCATTGCCATTGCTGGTTTGGAGGTGAAGGGCACCATCCTTGATATTGGCCTGCCCATCCACGGCATTGTCAAGTTTGCCAAGATGCCGCTGGACATTTGCGTGCAGCTCGACATGTACATTATTCCGATCGCCTTCTACTTTTCGGCCTTCTTGCGCATCAACCTCTTTGGTGCGCGAGTCACTGTCTTTGATTCCGTCGTCTTCCAGTGGGCCTCCAAGCCCATTCGGTTTGACGCCTTCCTGTCCAACTGCCAGCCCAAGCCGGACACGTCTCCGCCTCAGTTCACCAAGCCGCTGCAATGCAAGCAACTGCCCGACTTGGCGCCCGACTCGCCCCAAGTGTTTTGCGAATGGGCAACGGAAGACCCGGACACTGGTGTCGCCTCCCAGCAATGGTGCGGTGGCAGCTCGCCTGGTGCCTGCGACCTGTGGGCCTACGAAGACGTGTCTGGCGACAACTACGTCGCCCAGCGAACGCACGACGAGTCGTTGCTCTACGTCACGTTGCGCGCAGCCAACAAGAATGGCGTTGCAGGCACCCAAACGTCCGCCGTCATTCCGTTCGACAAGTCTGTGCCGATGATTCGCGTGTTTGATGGCAACGCCACCAGCGCCTACCTCACCACCCTCTACACGGCCAGAGCGATGCAGCGCTTCCAAGACCAGGCCACGGCCCAGTACGACGTTTTGGATTACATGCGCCCGCTCGTGGAGGTGCAATGGGCCGTGGGCACCTCGCCTGTGGCAAAGGTGCCAGCCATTCCGTTGATGTCGGACGTCATCCCTTGGACCAACGTGACGTGGACACCCGTGCTCACGGGCTCAAAGTCTGTCGGAGAGCTGTACGCGCCGCCCGAGCGCTTCTTGTTCCTCATGCAGCACAACACAAAGTACTATTTCCACGTCCGCGCTCGCAACGAACTCAACTACGAAGAGGCCGTGGCGTCGAATGGATTTTTGGTGGATTTGACGCCCCCCGACGTGGGCGTCGTCAACAACGGCGGCCAACTGGGCTTCCACCTGTTTGCCACACAGCTCAACTCTGTCGTGTCGGTCAACTGGGCAGGTTTTATCGACAACGAGTCTGGCCTGCATGCGGCGGAATTCCAACTGTCGTCAAAGTGCGATTGCTCAGTGTTTGAAAATGCCACCTGCGAGTTTGGCGATATCGTTCCGCTCTCCTTCTCCGAGTCGTACGAGGTCTCCAAGTTCCGAATGATGAACCCTCCGCTTCCCGATGGCTTTTACTACTGGCGCGTTCGCTATGAGAACTGGGTCGGTCTGTGGTCCCCCTTTGCGTGCCGCCCATTCGTCATTGACACGACACCTCCGCTTTGGCGCGGCCCGTGCGTGTCCAACGAGCAGTGCATGGTGATGACGTACGACGTCGAGACCAACTCAATCACTGCTCGCTGGCAGGCGTACGACCCAGAGTCGGACATTAAGCTCTACCAATTTGCTCTCGGTCTTGATGAGACAGACACGTCCCTCATGCCGTGGACGGAGGTCTACCTCAACACGTCATGGGTCATTCCGAACCCGCCCTCTGGCGTCAAGCTGGTCGGCAAGGCTCGCGCGTACAACTGGGTCGATCTCCCCGCCAGGACCTTCTCCAACACGCTGCTGATTGACTCGACCCCGCCAATCCCGGGTAACGTGAACGACGGTGGCACGCTCTTTGTTGACGTTGCCTACCAAAAGTCCACCACGGAGATTACCTTCAACTGGGACTCGTTCACCGACCCAGAGTCTGGCATTTCTGGCTACTACCTTGTGCTCGGCTCGGCGCCTGGCCGGGAAGACATCAAGTCCTTGGATGATTTGTATCCCGACACCTTCCTCAGTACCCGCACGGCCTTCCTTGAGGCGAATCAGACCTACTATGTCACCGTCATTGCCAAGCACAATGGCGCTCTCGGTCTGACCGCCAATGCAAGCGCCAACGGCGTTTTGGTGGACATGTCCAAGCCTGGCGAAGAGCAAGAGCTGTACTTTAACACTCCCATCAACGTGTTGGACGGGTCTGTCACGGACGGCAATCTCGACCGCGAGTACCAAGCCGCGGCCTCTGCATTGTCGGCGCGTTGGCCGACCATTCTGGATCCGCAGTCTCAAATCTACACGATTGAGGTGGCCTATGTGGCCGAAGGTGATCCCAGCGAGCCCGAAAACTTGCTCTGGCTGAGTGTCGATAATGCCACGTCGAGCTCGGCGCTCAACCACCTCGCCCTGCAGCATGGCGCCAAGTACTTTTTCTTTATTCGCGTGACGAACGGCGCTCTCTGGACAATCACCCGCATGTCGAATGGCGTAGTCGTGGACTTGACCATGCCTCTGCTGCACTACCTGAACGACGCGTCGGACGTGCTGGATCTGGACTACCAGAGCGGCACCGATTCGCTGTCGGCATACTGGCTGTGCGAGGATCCCGAATCGGACATTCTCAACCAGTTCTACTCTGTCTGGATGGGTCTGCCTTCTGTCCAGATGATTGGTACGGTTGGCGAACTCAACGAGAATCGCGGCTGGGCCTGGACAACCAGTGATACGCTGGTCGGCATTGCGCACAAGGCGAGAGTTGTCGTCGACGCTGTGCCTCTAACGGGCCTCACGGTTACTCCTGGAAATGCCTACTTTTTCCAAGTCACCATTGAAAACCGCGCCAATCTCCAGACCATTCTGGCTACGGACGGTGTCAAGATTGACACCACGCCGCCAGTGATGAACTATGTCTTTGACGGTCTCGAAAAGCCCGACACAATGCTCCAGTACACAAACAACACCATGTTTGGCCACTGGTCTGCGATCGATCCCGAGTCGGGCATCCTGTTCTACCATGTTGCCATTGTCGATCTTGGCATCACTGTGGATGACAACTACAACCCGCTCCCGGGCAAATCCCCGCTGGTCGTGACGGATTGGTCGGACTTGTGCAATTCGGGAAGCTCTGCGGCCTCCAAAACGGCGACATTGGCTTGGACCGAAGGCAGCTCGTGCACCAACCGAAACGGCGTCTCGATGAAGCTGCACCGTGCGTTTGAGCAAACGGCCGAGTCGTACGGCATTTTCAAGCTCGACGTCGCCCACCAGCTGGAGCAAAAGCACTCGTACTACTTCCTCATCTATGCAGCGAACGGCGCGTTGACAGAGTCCCTTCCGATGGTGTCGGACGGTGGTGTGCTCATTGTTCAGGCTCCCTCTCCAGGCACCATCTACGACGGCCCCGTCGGTGGCGAGCTGCAGTTCCAGCGCCACGACTCTGTCATGACGGCATGGTTTGAGGGCTTTGCCTCGCCTGCCTATGGCTTTACCGCCTTCGAGGTTGCCATCGGCACGTCCACGAACGCTTCGTACGAGTTTGACGTTCTCGAGTTTAACGACGATCCCATTCTCATCACCTCGAAGAGCGACGTCAACGGCGCCGGCATGCTGACCATCCCCATTCCGATGCAGCAAGGCGTCAAGTACTTTGTGACCATCAAGGGCATCACTCAAGAGCGACTGCCCGACGGCACTTGGCTGTCAGTCATGGCCATCTCGAACGGCATTGCCGCCGACTCGCTCTCGCCAGTGTTTGCCGACCTCGACGAAGGCAACCACATTGCGCCGGTGGACTACTACCAGATTGGCAACGACACCTTGCTGACCTCGTTCACCGTGTATGACGGGCATTCGTGTGTGGGCTACAATGGCACGTCGAAGACGTGTGCCTACTCTGACTTGCGCCCGCTCGAGTACTCTGTCGGTACGGCCCCCGGCTTTGGAGATATCGTGGCTCGCCGTCCCACTCCCGCCGAGGGTTCGGCGACCAAGCTGGTCCTGCGACCGGGTGCCGAGTTTGTGGATGACGCTGCTGCCAACAATGCTTCGCTCAACTCGATCGCTGTGCCCGAGCATGGTGCTCCATTCATCTTCAACGTCTTTGCCGTGGACAATCTTGGCCAAGCTTCCGCATTGTCGTCCCACGGCTTGACGGTGGACAAGACCGAGCCGACCCTTGGTACGGTTTCGTGCGGCCCGAGCATCCAGGCCGACACGACGCGGTTTGCCTGCTCGTGGGTCGACTTCCTCGATCCCGAGTCTGGCATCATGTACTTTAACTTTTCGATGGGTGTCAGCCCCGGCGACACGAGCATTGTCGACGGTGTGCTGACGTCCGACTCGACGTACCTCGCCCTCAACCTGAATCTGACTCAGGGCTCGACGTACTATGGCACTGTCCGCGCCGTCAACTCTGTCGGCTTGTCGTCGTCGTCCTCCGCGCCCGGAGTGTTTATCGACGTCACTCCGCCAGTGGCTGGCCGCATTATTGAGATTGGCGACCTGCGAAACATCCAGCGCTTCCGCGACACGATGGACCTGTCCAACCTCGACTCGTTCGACGACGGCTGCCAGATTGTCAACGATCGCATCACGATTCGCTTTGCTGGCTTCTTTGACCCCGACGGCACGCCGATCGTGCAATATACGGCTGCCGTCGGCACGACTCGAGGTGGCGTGCAGACCAAGTCCTTCACCGTCCTGAACGTTGTCCAGTTTGGAAATGTGAGCGAAGCTGTCATCGACGGCATGGTCTTGTCTCCGCAGACAACGTACTATGTCACCCTCCGCGCATTCAACTATGTCGGCAACTTTGCGACTGCCATGTCCAACGGTATTCGTGTCTCGTTCTACCCGCCGCAGCCCCAGTTTGCTGTTCTTCAAGACTACGAGCCTGGCTACAATGACGAGTTTGGCCAGCCGATTGACAAGGAGTTTACGTCGTCGCTCGATACGCTGGGTGTTCGCTTTGTCATGAACGAAGGCTGCGACCCGTCGTATCTGACCTACTCGATTCGCATTGTGACATACAACGAAGACCGCGTCGTCATGCCCTGGAAGGACATTATCAGCCGCCCTGGAGCAGTCTTTGGTGTCCAGTTCGAGGCGCTCAACCTCACCAACACGTACAAGTACAAGTTCCAAGTCATTGCCACCAACCAGCTCGGTTTCCAGGCATACGGCGAGACCGACGGTATCCAGGTCATTAACGGCGGTCCGCCCACGCCGGGTGTGGTCATGGACGGTAGCACTGGCATTGACGTCGATTTCCAGGCGTCGCTCACCACCATCAACGCGTGCTGGAAGGACTTTATCGACTTTGATGGCTCCAACATTACCCAGTACTCTGTTGCTGTGGGCACAGATCCGCGATTTGATGCCACGATCGAGAACGTCATGTCGTGGCGAGCTGTCGGCCCCGTGCACTGCTTCAAGTCGCCGTCGCTCACCCTGACGCCGCTGACCCAGACCTACTACTTTAGCGTTCGGGCACAAGGCAAGTTCTCGCTCTACTCGACCGCGTCGTCGAACGGTGTCAAGGCTGGCTTTGGCCAGGCTCAGCTTCAGCTTGAAATTACCGGCACGCCCGAGGAGTTTGACAGCTACCAGTTTGCGCTGCGCCAGAAGGTGGCCGACGATGTCCGGGCGCGCTTCCCTGCGTTGACCAATTTCGATGCCAACAACGTCATCATCATCAACGTGCACGCCAAGAAGCTGTTTGACTTGTCGCACGCTTCCCTCTTGACTGCAGGTCAGGACGTGGCAAACCTGAACGGCACTGCTTCGGGCAACGCAACCGACGCGTCCTCGGCTAGCCGACGCCATGTCGGAGCACCCGATCCCGTCGTTCCACTGCACGAGCTGACTCGCCGCGACGAGGACTTTGTCGAAGACACGGATCCCATCACGGAGCTGGCCACCAATTCGACCATCATTTTGATTGTGTTTGACTATCCGTCGACCGAGGAGCGTCTCGGTATCACTGACGCCGAGTTTACCGACTCGATGGTGCAAGAGTTTGACGACTTGGCGCACCAAGAGTGCGTTGGGCCTTCGGGACCTGTGGACTGTCTCTCCAACACGCTTGGCTTGACTGTGTCCCAAGTCGCTCTCGATCTGAACGCGCCCACCGTCGGCAACGTGTACGATGGCCGCACGCTTTTCGTCGATGTGGACTTCCAGTCGGACAACTCGACCATTTCCGTGTCGTGGCAAAACTTCCACCACGACGAAGGTGTCATTCGGTACGACGTGGCCATTGGCTTTGATCCGATGCCCGTTTACCAGCCAGTCAACAGCTCTCGTTGGCTGCTCAAGAACAATGGCACGGACTTTGAGGTTTTGAACATGACGACTGTCACCGAGTGCCCAAAGACGGTGACCGTGGACCGTATTTGCCTCCCCCTCAACCACGTCACGCTCCGCAACCTGACGCTGTATAGCAACACGACTTACTACGTGTCTGTGCGAGCAGTCTCGCGCATTGACACCGAGTCGATTGCCACCTCGGACGGCATCCAGATCGACATGACGCCTCCCAGCGCAGGCTCTCAGCGGTTTATGACGGGCTCGCCCCCGCTTCTGCCCCCGACCTTGTCGGACACCATCATTGAGACGCCAATCATTTCCGACAAGGTGCGCTTCCAGGCCGACCCGACGCAGATTGTCTTGGATGTGAGCAACTTCACCGACGCCGAGTCTGGCATGGCGGCGTACTACTACTCGATTGTCAAGTATCCTCGTCAGCAGTGTCTCGTCTACCCGATGGCTGCCGACAGTCAGGCTGTGGCGTTGACGCTGCCGTTCGACTCTGTTGCCGCAGTGTCGACCTACACTTGGCCCTTGTACCTGCCGAGCGACAACTCTGCGAGCGGCGCCATTCCGCGCGTGTACTTCCCTGTCTTGTCCAACGATACTGCCGATGTTTTGCTGAACAACATTATGAGCGTGAACGGCACGACGTTCGATGGTCTGTTCAACCGTACGACGTGGGATACTCAGCTGGCAATGACTGGCCTGTCCATGCAGCCCGAGTATGTTTACTATGTCTCCTTGTTTGGTGTCAACGGTGCCGGCCTGCCGACATACACGCATTCCCGGGCCTTGGTCGCCGACGCCACTCGCCCCGTGGCTGGTGCCATTTTCGACGGCGCGTCTGCGCTGAGCGACATCCAGTACGGCTCGGACAAGACCAAGCTTGTGCTGACCTTTGCTGAAGCCCCCACCGTTGCCACGTTGGCCTGCCCCGCGTTGAGCTACCCGCTCGACGGCCCTCATGCAGACTTTACCTTGACCGACCGTTTCTGGTACGATGTGATCCAGACAGACACTGGCACGCTGAGCGACATTGTCCTCCCTTCGTACGAGGACGCCGTCTATCAGGAGCTCAATGTCGTGGCGACCGAAGTTCGCCCGACTGCAGCCGTGTTCACCAGCGGCGAGCTCTACCTCTCCTTGCGCAACGTCAACAATGTGACCCACCCGCGGTGGGTTGGCGCCCAGTACTACAAGCAGGATCACCTCACCAGCAATGGTGTGTACAAGGTGCGAATGGCTGGTGCTGTCGGCCAGGGCGTGGTCACGCGCATCTCGCTGGTCAATGGCGATCCGCTGTCCTTGCCCTTCCACACGAACGAGCGCTGCGCTTCCAACTGCTTTGCCTCTCCGTACGTTCAGGGCTTTGGCCTGATCATTTTCGGCGCGCCGACCGACGTCGTCAATGACAAGGGTGTGCAGAGCGTTGTTTCGGGCACCATTTGGGCGACTGCTCTGAACGGCATGCTGACCTTCCAAGAGTTTGACTTTTCGTTTGTCAACAACACGGTGAACACGGCCGACCCGGCCACGGCAGCCTCCACCGTCTACAGTCCGTACGACATGCACGAGTGGCAGTTTGTCTTCCGCGAGCTGCAAGTCTCCATGTACGTTGACGGCGAGTACGTCAAGCAGTTCACCCTGCCGTTCAAGCTCTCCAACGCATCGTTGGTCGTCGACGTGTTTGGCCAACCCACAGACACGCTGCAAGTGGCCCGCGCCGTCTTGACCGACATTGAAACGCCGACGCCCGAGATTGACGTGTGCGATGGCATGGATTCCTTCCGCGATTTCGAGTCGCCGATTCTGTACTATGAGTGGTCTGCAGGCACTTCCCTGGGCGACGTGGACGTGTTTGACTTTACGCGCATCGCTCACGACAACATTTGTCTGTCGTGCCGCAACGGCCCTTGCGACGCAGAGTTTTGCAACAGCACGTGCGACGCCGACAACGTTCGCGTCATTTCCGCCACTGCCACAGGCTTGTTGCTGGCAGAGTACCGTCGCTACTGCAACATTGCCAACGGCGGTTGCGATGTCGCGGCGATCTGCACGGCCAGCAACAACTCGGAAACGTACTTTGTCAACTGCACGTGCCCGGTCGGCTACACTGGCAACGGAACGTACTGCAATCCCGAGATCCAGTGCGAGCCGGGTGTGCCGTACGCCACTCATGTGACGTGCTCGCACGACGCGTTCTGCACCAACCTGGTCGGCTCCTTCACGTGCACATGCAAGCCAGGCTTCTATGGCAACGGCACGCACTGCGAGGACATGGACGAATGCTCTGCTGTTTACCAACAGTACGACAAGTACAAGTGTCATCCAGCTGCCGTTTGCACGAACGGTCCAGGAAACTTCTCTTGCGCCTGCCGCACTGGATACACTGGCGACGGACGCTTTGAGTGCATCAACGTTGACGAGTGTCTCTTGCATCTGGACTCTTGCAGCGGAAACGCGTCGTGCGTTGATACCATTGGCAGCTACGAGTGCTTGTGCGATGACAACTACTTTGGTGACGGCTTTACCTGCACGCCCGCTGGTGATTTCTGCAGCAACCCGCTGTGGCTCGCCACGCCCGAGCGCGGCAGCCACATTCGTCAGCGTGGCAATGCTGCCGCCTACACCCCGTACGATCTGACTCAGATGACGCACTGCGGCCCCGGTCTGACCGGCTCTCGTGTGTGTGGCACGCGTTCAACGGCACCGGCTACCCCATGCAGCTCACAACCTGCGTTGTGG